CCCTCAGGGCCCAGGGCGCCCATTGCCCCAGGCCTCCCTCCATGTCGGCCGCCTGGTCTGTGGCAGGTGGCTGAGAGGGTCAGGCCTCCTGAGGGCTGGGAGGATGCAGAAGTCTTGGCTCTGCTGTGTGTGTGTGGAGACCCTGAGTTCTTGCACACAGAGCCCCTGGCACTGGAATCTCCCTGCCCCGCTCCCCCTCCCCCCAGCTCCAGTAGATGGGGAGTTTTCTTCTTTTTGACAGAAAAGTCCAAAAGGAAGGTCTTGGTCATTTGCCCTCCTGGTGTGGTGGCTTGATTGTGAGCTCTGTATTTTCCACCCCTCCCCAGTGCTGCCTGAGGTCAGTAGTCCCTGGTGGGCAAGTGGAGGAGGAGGGGGAGAGTTTTGGGGCTCACCGTGCTGGCAGGTGGGAGGTGCACAAGCCTGTCACCCAGCATGGGCCTCGCTGGTGTTTCGAGGCCCCTGCCCACCCTGCCTCACCCCTAGCCTGGCACAGCCCCCAGCACACAGTCTGAGCCCTTAGCCCAGGCCCAGAGACCTTCCAGAAGGTGAGGGCGACTCCCCTGGCTCTGGATTTTGGGAAGCCTTAGGTGGTGTGTGTGCTCCTGATGTCCATGCCAACCCTGACGAGGAAGTGGAGAGGAAGCCTCCTGTCAGTCTGTCGTAGATTCGGATCAGCTTGTCAGTGAAGCACTGTTGCCTTAGTGCAGCCCCAGGATCAAAGGTCTGAAAGGCTCACTCTATCTGGAGGAGCAGGGTTCAGCCCTTTCCGCCTTGTAGGCCAGCCCTCCCCGCCCCCCCCATGGCTCTGTCTCCTGGTCCCATAGTGGGGCCTCTGCCATGGGTCACCTTCCCACTGCCCATCACAGGGTCTTCTCTTCTAAAACCTGAAGTCCAGGGGCCTTACTACAGCCCCCTGACTTAGCCCTGAAGGCCCTGTCCTCTCCAGGATGGGGCCCCACCTAAGCTGGGCTCCAGGTGAGTCTGGGGGCTCCCTCAGCAGGGTTTTCTTCCTATGAGAGCCTGGAGGAGTTGTGGGGGGGCTATCAGCCAGGCATTGAGTGGGATCTAGAAGGATTTGTGCCCCTTCTCCCAACAGGGGCCACCCCAGCTCTAAGATGGATGTGGTGATGTGTGGGCTCATTCTCAGCCTGGAGAGCCGTCTCATTCCCAGTCTGGTCAGACTGGTTGAGGCTGACACACCTGGGAGAATCCAGCATGCAGGAATGCAGGCCTCCCTTGCTGGGCGTGTCAGTGCCCCTGGAGGGGGAAGGGAGGGAGCCTTCCTGTGAAGCAGCCTCAGAGGTGGTTCCAGCAGGGGCTCCTCCCTGCAGCCCCAGGGTCCCCAAGCAGGAGGCTCCAGGGACCTGGAGGCTCCAGCAGCCTCCAGCTGATTCCTGGCTTCCCAGCTGGAAAGGCTGTGACAGAATCCCAGGAATGTGCCTTGAGCTCAGAAAGAAAATTCCCAAAATAACTCCTATAAATACTTGAGGGTAAGGGCGGGGAGGGAGCTCTCAGCATGGCCTACAGCTGGCCCAGCACCGGGGACTACTTCCCAGGGCAGTCCACCCCCAAAAGGAGAAAAGGCACACACAGACAGACCCTCCTGCTGCCCTACCTCTGGGGGACAGTGTCAGACACCGAGTTAACTGGGTGAGATGGTACGCAGTAGCAATGCTGAGAAATAAGACAGGATCCTTTTCCTCCTTCATTTCCATCCCGGGCTATAGCCCCTGACCCTACCCTATACCTCCCCAAAGAGCCTGGGCTCCTAAGCGGGAGGGTCCCCCTCAGAGGGCCTCTCCAGGCTGCCTGGCCCGTGGCCCTAAGCAGCTCACTGAGCACACACACTTGTCTCTGGTGTACCTGGCCCTGAGCCCAGGACCCTCCCAGCCGAGCTCTGTTGGAGGAGCAGGATGGCATTTGACAGCCCACTGTCATGGAGCACAATGTCAAGGTGATGGTGGTTGGAGGGACTGCGGTCCTGAGGGAAGGCTTATTGCGGAGCAGGGTCCCAGGTAGATGAGATGTGGCCAGATGTCCCCTCCTCCCTGAGGTCCAGGAAGGGAGGGAGGAAGGAATGGAGGAAGTCGGGAATTTGTGGGACTTCCCCGCAGCCCTGCCCTCCCTGAGCAGCTGCGGCAACCCTGGTCCCTCCCATCGGCGCAGCGCCCCATCGCCACAGCAACTTGCACTCACTTTCTGATCCCTGTGCAAGAGCAGCACAGCTACGGCCTCTCCCAAATGAGAGTCACCAGCAGGCCTGGTTTCTCCGGCTTCAGGATGCCCCCTGGCCAGTGTGGGGACATTTGAATGGAATTGTGTTCCCACCATCTCCCTGGAGACCCACTCTCTGGCAGCTAGGGGCAGGGGTGCCAGGCCCTTGGCAGTGCGGGTGGGGGGCAGAGCAGGTGAGACCTACATTCTTCCTGGGGCGGGCCCTGTCCAGTTGTCACGCAGCAAACAGCTCTGAGTTGCTACCAAACATCAACGGGCTGGTGTCTTGGGCAGGTGGCAGCAGATCCTGTTACCGGCCCAGGGACTCTGGGCCCCAGCTTGACCCCAGCCCGGTGTCTCCTTTCAGGCTCTAAGGTCAGCACCCCAGGGTGGTGGGGACATGCTCCAACCCCCACCTAGCCCACAGTCTCCCCACAGAGAGCCCTGCCCTTTAGAGAAAGCAGTTTTTCCACCCCCTTACCCCCTCCCAGGACCCTCTGCTCATCCTGGGGACACTTCCATTTGCTATGCGCCCACCATGTGGCCTGCCTGGCTCTACAATTTCAAATTCATTGAGAATCCTCACAATAGCCTATGAGGAAGGACTCTTCTGTTCCCCAGTTTACAGATGAGGAAACAGTGGCTCAGAGAAAATGGGCCACTTACCCAGGGTCGCTGCACTTGTCGGTGGCAGAACTGGGATTCCTGTGGCTGTGGAGCCCTGGGCTTGTCTCCTACACTGCACACCCTCCAAACCAAGAATAACACACGCGTGAACCCCTGTTCAGCCTGCACACACACCTGGCCCCTTCCCAAACGCCCACACACTTGAGATCAGGGGTTTTCAAACTTTTTAGATGGAGCCCTCTTTTCAAACAAAATCTCATGTGGAAGCTCAGTATAGCAATCTTAGTGTATAAAGCCACTGCGGCCCCGCCCCGCTGGGAGACTCTCCTGGCTGGCCTTCCCCATCTGTCCTCTGTCGCTCCCCCATGGGCAGCTCTCACAGGGCTCAAACCTTCCATTTTTGGTGCTTAATTTTGGTGTCTGGCAGCCTGTCGTCTCGCCTTCCTTCCCTCCTCCCTGTGGGCCCTGTTCCATCGTGAGCTCAGGGTCCAGCTCCCAGGCCCTGTGGGCAGAACAGCTTGGCCTGGAGCCCCACTGGCCAGACCGGGCACAGCCCTCCGGTCCTAGGCAGCCCTGAGTCAGCACCGCTCCCATCTGGCCAGAGCTGGAGCTGGGGGCCCTGCCTGAGGCTCTGCCCAGCCGCAGCTCCCCTGTCGTCCCCTGTCCCCTGCCTCATCCTCATGGTTCCCTGGGGATGGCTTCACCCTGGGTTGAAGAGACTGTGGATACATCTCCCTATTCCTTTCCCACCCCCTGGCCCCAGGACCACCAACCAGCACCTTCATCGAGGGAGAAGCTTTCCTAGGGCTTCCTGAGTGCCATCTTCCCCTCTTGCCTAATTGGTCATGTTCCAGGCTCTCGGAGGACTTTATGAAATCAGGCATCTTCCCTAGTGGGTCGCCATAGCAACGGAGGGCCTAACTCTGGAGAGCGTGGTGGGGATGAAAATGTTCCAGCTAAAAATGTACATGGCCATCAGTGGGCGGGCACCCAAGAGGGGGCCCCCGGCACATAGAAGGCAGCTCCCCGCCCCCACCCTGGCCCCCGCCTGCCCAGGAAGTCAGAGTTGTTCGTGCGTCACCTCGTATCTTTGAATGAGAGGGGGCCCCCCTGTGCTGCCATCCCATGCCGCCTTTGAGGGCTGATTCACAGATCAGTAGACAGTATGGTGCAAAGCAGCATTTATGGGAACAGAGGCCAAAAAGGACCCCGGCCCCTTCCCCTGCTCACCGCCCTGTCCCCCTACCTCCCTGCACCCCTCCCACTGTGGGTAGAAGTGGATGGAGAGGGGCAGGGTGCCAGTTTCACTTCCCAACTCCTTTTTGTGACAATTCCTGTTACTTCCTATATTTCTCTGGCAACGGGGTTTTTGGAGCCAAATAAAAGGCCAAGCTCCTGGCCACCCTGACCCACCCTCCCAGAGCCCTCCTTTCACTCAGCCTCCGTCCCTGGTCCCTGTCCATCTGACTGTCCTGTGACCCTCACCTGCCAGGCCAGACTGGGATGGGTATTTGGTCCCAGGATCCAGACGTCCCTAGGAAGACTGGCTGCTGGTTCAGGCTGCCCCCACCCACTGACAAGCTTGAGGTTCTCCCCTCGGTGATAGGAGCTGGAACCTGCAGCATACATCCCTGGGTCTCACAGCATCCCTGGGGAGAATGGCAGCTCGGCAGTGCCGCAGCAAGGCTGGGAGTAGCAGGCCCAATGACTAACCCATGCAGGCCAGACACTGTTCAAATATTTTACATAAACTCGTGTAAGCTTCACAGCCCTTGAGGTGGCTACTGTGGTCTTTCCCATTTATAGATGAGGAAACTCAGGGCCAGAGAGGAGTGGCTTGCCCAGGATCCCCCAGCCGGTAATGAGGAGATTTAAAGCCAGGTCTGCTCACTTGGAAGCCCATTCCTTGAGGCCAGGAGGGACACAGCTCCCACAGTGCATGATCTGGGAGGCTGGACTGGAAGTAGGTCTAGGGTGGGGACAGATAGGATTTGCATTAGTCATGGGCACGGTCACTTGACCAAACCCAAACCTGAGACACCATGTCTGGGGCCCTCTCCAGCTGGTGGACAACCTGCTTCCCACTCCTTTCCCTGATCGCCAGGATGCCCCAGCCCCAGGACATCCTCACTAACCGCTGCCCTGTGCTTGCTCCCCAGGGTCTGATGCTGAGTCGGCTGGGCCACAAGTGCCTGGCCCAGAAGGTGCTGCGGGACGCCGTGGAGAGGCAGAGCACCTGCCACGAGGCATGGCAGGGCCTGGGTGAGGTGCTGCAGGCCCAGGGCCAGAGTGAGGCCGCCATCGACTGCTTCCTCACCGCCCTGGAGCTGGAGGCCAGCAGCCCAGTGCTGCCCTTCTCCATTATCCCCAGAGAGCTCTGACACCACCCTGCAGCAGCGGGGGGGAGGAGGCTGCCCGCTGTGGGGGCAGGCGGGCCAGGGGAGCACGGGTTCGGGGAGGTATAGGACCTCAGGGAAATACATCTCTAGGGAACACTTCTGCAAGCTGCAGCCCTAGTTCTCCTCGCCTCCCCACCCCACCCCTGCATTCCCTCCAGGGGCAGCTGGGTCTGGGAGCTGCTCATCTGGAGCCAGGTGGACCAGATTTGCATCAAAAGCAAATTCCTTGCTCCTTGGGACTCAGACATTATGGCATTTATGAGCAAGGAAGTAGCTGGGAGGCCACATCAGCATGGGGGCCCCTCCCCAGAGTATCTGTTCATCTAAATGTGTAGTAAGATCTGTGTGGCTTGGTTACCTCCCCATCTAAAAAGCCCTGTCCTATACCTGCCACCCTCCCTCACCATCCCTGACCCTTGATTTCTGGCTTTGCACAAGCTTTAGTCTGGAACTTCAGCTCTTTGCTCTCCAGCACCAAAGATGAACCCTGCAAGCTGCCCCCTGGCTGGGCCAAAAGGGTTTTTCTGGATTCCTTCCTTGGCGCCTTGGAGACAGTCGGTTTGAACCCTAAGTGACTGAGAGTTGTGGTGATGGGACTTGCTCCTTGTGAACCTCACAGCTGTACTCCACCCCACCCATGCCTCTGTGCCTTGGGGAGCCCGCGGCCCTGGTCTCATGCCCCAGCCTCAGGACAGGGTTCTGGATCACTCTCAGGTCTTGCCCTAACTTTCCATTTCCGCCCACCTCTTTTTCTGGAGACACCCCAGCTTTAGCAGGCCATAGCCCCAGGATGGGCCTCAGGATATAAATGTGGCTGCTGGATGCAGCCCTTTCTGATTGCTTACATCAACACATTCCTTCAAGCCTTACCTTTCTGGGCAGTGGGTACATTGCAGATCGCTCTGTAGATGGGGAGTCTCTAGGACTGTCCCCAATTCATCTCACCACCCACAACACATTTCACCTCAGGCTTTCTTGGGTAACCCAAGCGCCACCCTGGCCATTTGGTTCTCCCTGCCTGGCACCAAATGACTGGTTGGAGACCTGAGGAGTCGGGGCCTGGCACCTCCTAACTGGTTGAGCAGGCCTCTGTATACTTGACACCTTTGTCTGCAGGGACCCTGTGTGCAGGTGGGTGGGTGTCTTCCTGCTGCTCCCCTACCTGCGGCATGATGCTCCTGGAATTCTCCGCAAGAAGTCAGCCCCTCCACAGGCCTGTCGGGAATTCCTTTTTTATCTGCACTTTGGGTTTTAGTTTTAAAGCTCCAGGTACACCTCTCATTTTAAGATGTGTGGAAAAGTCGGGTGAGGACTGCCCTGGTTTGTTGTAGCCCTGTCTCTCTGTGGGAGACCCACCCTCCTTGCCGCACTGGCTCAGCACTGCACCCCCAGGTGCTTCCCAGGGAGAGCCTGCGCCTTCTGGCCTCCGCCCGGTGAGCAACACTGCGGAGAACAGCAGACCCTTCGCCTCTTGGTTGAAGGATCTCTATATATTTGTGTGTGTATAAATATATATATATATATATGATAGAGCTCTATTTTTATTCTGGAATTCTGTTAAGAAAGAAAGTAAACATGACAAAGGAAATGCCATTGATTTGCCTTGGGGGGCCGCAAGATGTTGGTAGTCAGTTCTGGGTAATACGAAAGGGACCGAGTGCATTTTGATTGTATGCCCTCAGAGGCCATCTCAGTGGGCTGGGCCAAGTTGCTGACAGTTCGAAGATTATTCTGAATAAAGAGACCCCTGAAGGGGAAGCAGGCTTGTCTGAAGCAATGTGTTCATTCAGTGTGCAGGTGGCCCCGAAACAGGCCTTGAGCAGCCCTGGAGGAGCAGGTGTTGCAGAAGAAGAGGCCTGAGGAGCCGTGAAGGCCAGGGCCTGGGCCTCACAGGTGGGGGTGGGGTTGTGGGGGGAGGAGGAAAGGGGCCGCTGAGGGACTGTGATTTGATCCAGTGAGAATGGATGTGCACAGTGGAGGCTGGGGAGGGCTTTGAGGTCAGGCTGAAGCCTGGAGATGGGTATAAGGAAGCAGAGGGGTCCAGGCAGGGCCAGCAAGAGTAGGTCTCATTCTGGACTGCCATCTGTTCCTTAGATGGCCCTGAGCTCCTTGCTGCCTCCCCGGGCCAACTGGAGAGTCCAAGGCCAGACTTGCTATCTGAACAGTGACTCTTCCAAGGGCACTGCCAGTGGAGCCCCTCCAGCACCTGGGGAGAAGCACCGG